TTATAATATACCAACAACACTATATCTGTCCTATCCAGCGCCGACGAGACCTTTCCAACAATACCATGGCTAATCAGGCCAGTTGGTATATGACAGACATAAAAGTGGTCTATACTCTATATATATCATCAGTTTCAGGAAAAACAATTGTTATGATGTGAACCAGCCAAATGTTGAGCTGTATCTGAGTTTTAGATTCAAATTTTGTTGGACCTTGGAGGGTAAGGTATACCTTTAACCTCTTATTCCCCACCCCCAGCAGTAGATTTTTACTTTGTTATTTTATTGCAACATAAGATTTTTCACATTTAATTTGTTTTCCTTCTAAGATGATTTTAGGTACTTGTTTTATGATTGTTTCTTTTCATCCTCCATATGTTACAAAATTGTTCTATTACATTTAATCGCGGTTGTATAATGTATGATGCTGTTATATGCTCTTGGGCACTCTTCCAAATGGCCATTGTCTACGAATTGTGAGAAGTGTGTGAAATTCGACTATTTTAGAGACATTTCGTTTAAATACATGATGAACCTCGGAGGTGAAGATAACTGAGAAAGTGTCTTCTACATTTACTCTGATCCTCCAGCAAGTTTGATAACCAACCAATTATTTCTCATGGAAGTCCCATTTTAGACAATTTATATCTAAGACCGTTGTGCCGAATGCTTTCTCGAGAAAACTTCCGCCCTTGCAGTAGTTTTTATTGAAGCTGTTTATTGTTTCATCTGTTAATCTAATTAAATGGACAGTTTGTCGGTATTTTCTAAATACATTTTGAACTTCTGGTAGTTTTGAAGTTAATTTTAGATAGTTTGGTTTGAATTCCACGCAAAGCTACTCGAGGGTTATCTGTACCAATCGTCCCTAATTTAGCACTGTAAGACTAGAAGGAAGGCAGCTAATCATCACCACACTATCGCCAACTTTTTATTGATGAATAGTGAGATTGACCGTCAGTTTATAACGCCCCACAGCTGAGAGGGTGAGCATGTTCAGTGAAAATGATTTGAACCCGCGACCCACAGATTACTAGTCGAGCACCCGAATCACCAGGCCTGAAACAC